TATCCACCTCATTGGTTGTTAATTTTGATTTTTTTTTCTTTAATTTGGCAATCTTTGACTTACAGGCATTAATTTTCAGGTTTCGAACAAAAAGAACAGAAGTATACTAAGAACAACAGAGATTCTAAGATACTTTTTACATAGTCATCCTGTTTTGTGTCGTTTTTGTTCGTAGCGTTGTGTTCAAATAAAATTATCCCATCTTCAACGGTTTCTCATTTATTTAAAAATTTTAAAAATACGTGGTAATATTTGATTGCCCCCAATTTCCACAGTTTAAATGTGGATACGGACTTTTGCTTCTCTGTTAAATTTGAAGTTGATATCTGCAAATTTATGACACGTAACACATTTCTCATTTAGCACGAAATATCGGGAACAACCTGTGCAATAGGTGAAAACCTTAAATACAAAAGTTTTTGCTATCTATGCGGGTTATATCGCAATATAAAAGAGTGGAAAGTGCGATCTGAATCACCTTTCAGTTATAACCAATTTTTTGAATTTCCGGCGCACCCTGTATATTTTTGAAAAATTGTCTCGAATAAAAATTTATAGAGCCGTATCTTCTGCTTCTTCTGGTTCAAAGTTTTTTTTGGTCTCGTAAACAGTTTTTGAAAAATGGTGTTTTTTGTAGACACTTGCACACGCGTAAATACTTCCCGACTCTCCAGCCTCCCCCCCCCCAATTTTCAACAGGTTCCGTCAGGGGACAAAGCTGCATATATGTGATAAAATATGAAGTCGATTGCTTCAAATTTTGGACACTTATCGTGTTTCATAGCAAGGTCCAAAAAACAGTCGAAAATCGCGAAAAAAATATGGATACGGGCGTTGGATCAGGGCCATTTCTTATAAGCTTGTGTGCCTCGTGGAGGGTTAAAAAGGAGACAAGTTTCAATTTTGTAGCTCCAACGGTTCGAAAGTTATTCAGGAAAAACCAAAAGACGAGAACGCAGAACGGACAGACAAAACAAAATGTATACGAGCGCAGATACTTTCAAAAATTCGATTTCATCGATTTTCGAAAGTAACATATCATGTGATCAAATGATCCAGGTGAAAGAACCTCTTGTATAAGTGGCACACACGATAGAGTGAAACATGGGTTACGGTCAATATCGGCGAGGACCGTATTTACAGGGTGATAAATTTTTTCCCGAAGGATATGTAAAAGATTTTTATATTTTTTTCCGCGGGCTTATACGGCGCCTAAGTGGACTTTTTAGTATTTTTTTTTACGACCTACTTTTCAATAAAAAGTTTTTGAAATATTGAATTCCTCGTCTCCGGGGACTTTTCACCGGAAGATAACTTCGCAATTTAATTACGTGCCCGCGCGGAGACGACAACAAGCGTTCGCGAAATTTGTTCAAACTGAAACGATAATGAGGTGCCAGAAAGGAAAGAAGGAAATTCTGTAATTGAAAGTCGCGATCAAATTGAGCAATTGGTTTTCCATTTGAAGGAATCTCGAGCAGGCCGGGGAGGAGCTATTTTTAAATGTGTGTGGTAAAAAATTTATGAGAAACTTTTAGAAATGCCCAATTATTATACAAGGTGTTTCAAAATTTGAAAAAAATACCCTAATGTACTGCTGGTTTCATAAAAAACTGATACGAGTTTTAAAGCACTCTTAAAGAATTGTTACCAAGTTAGAAGATAGTTGGTGCTTACCAACGGTATTATTGTAAGTTGAAAAACCTTTTTTTTATTAATATTATTTGGAGATAAGTAGAAACATTTGAAAGGACAAGGGAATCTGCGAGACAAACAGTTAGTTCAGTTTAAAAAGATCAGGGGGCCTTCGGAGAGTCGAGGATGACCATTACCAAAGCGCGAATAGACCAAGAACTGTCAGTGAAACAGTTTATCAAAGGATTAAGACGTCACATATCATGTGCCGGACTGCTGCAAAAAAGACCCGCACTCACTCCCAAACAGAAGTATGCACGAGTTATTTCAACATTTATGTAAAGGTAATACATTCTGACTTGTCTCATAGACTTAATCCCCTAGAATTTGACACATTTTATTATAGAGTTCGAACAGACATTCCATCAATCATTCATAAAAAGTTTCTCAGACAAAAACTAATGTTAGACAAATTAATTTCTAATACAAAAATATCTAACAGCAAGCCAGTTATTACACAGTATATCGACCACCAATTTTACAACAGGTTAATAAACTTAACAGACATAACATTCTCTAAAAATGAAGTTGAATTTCTCGAAAAAGGTTTCAACTTTAACTTACAGTACTCGAACATTCATAGAGAATTAGACTGTTTAGGGATCGACTGTGAATTAGCAATTAACACTAAGAAATTTCTCAAATGTCACTAGTAAAATCTATCAAAAGCAAAGCTTCTGAAAGTAACATAATATTTACACGTGCAGATAAATATATTTCAAAAACCGACAATTTTTTTAAACCAGAACTTTTCCAATGTATCAAACACGTTCCTACCTAGTTATATCAAAGACAATCCAAGGAAGTAACTACTAACTCCACACTATTTAGTGATAAAAACAAGTATTTTTTAACAATTATGAATCCACAATCGCGGACAAATTATATTCTTTAGTGTCTTATGCAATAGCTGCAGCAGTTAAACTCTCAACAAAAGTAGTAAATATTTTAAAGTTCCACATAGATTTTAAACCAAAAATTTTTTTGAATTCATCAACAAGATTAAAGATATCAAAATTCCATAGTGGAAGGCAGATGCACAATAGAAAAACGATGGGTCCCTTTACCACAAGAAACCGCGAAGCTCTTTCTTTTTACTTGCTTCTACTTTCTATGAACTTGCCTCGCAAATCGACGATTTTTCGAAAGCAATCTTATTGATATTATTGGTTTTAGTCCAACTACCATTATCCGTATTGAATGGCAAGTTTTTTCTCAATTCTGATGGAGGAATTTCATCTTCACTACCAGTATCTACCAGAGTGCCGGTGTGAATCATGAAAATCGCTAGCTTAATGTTGGAACGCTTCCGCATATTTTCCATTGTTTTCCCAGACACAGCATTGATAACCAATTTAAACAAGTTCCTTTCAAACTCGTTTTTGACAGCCTGGCGTACTTCCGATTGCTTTTTTGCTCTTAGTCATGTTAAATACGTTAAAATAACAATAATACGCATAAAACTGACACATCGTTTGATACTGTCAATCGTAAATCCTACGTTTGCAGTCTTCACATAAAGACCACAATTAAAATCAGAACGAACCAGGGAATCCATTCATCTTACTTTAAACTTAACTGAACTAAACAAAAGGAGTTTGAAACTCAAATCAAAGTCGACTCCCAAATATTAATTCCAGAATTTTTTAGAGAAATTTGGCAACAGTGCGGCTCTTTTTTCCACGCACTGCCCTCGAGTCTAGGGAATACACGCTCTCGTAATAGCTAGTAGAAAAAGCTTTGCGTCGTTCCGCAATTTTATTTGATCCAGACGTGGTGGACAAATGGGTGAGGACGTAAAAAAAAAACGGATTTACTCTATCTTCTATTATAAAACAGATAAAAACAATAAATACATTATTTACAAATTGCAATTACGATACAAATTCGGAACACGTTTGTAGTTTCACACAGGCAAATATTTTTATCCACAAAAAATTGGATCGGTGAAGTAGTTTTATCACTCCAATAGCTAAACTTGATTTTTCTAAACTAGTGTGTCCATGATATTAATATAAAACTACTTATTCTATCTTGTCAATAACATAACGAGCAAAATAATCGATTATTTTCTTAGCTCTCGGCGTCGCATATATAGTGTGTCCTATTGTTGATGGACCGAAACGTTATTTTCGAAATTGTGCATTTTTGCGTATAAGGTATAAGTGTGCGTGGCATCCAGTGGCGTAGTCTGTTCGGAAACTCACGAATATCGATAAATCCGAATTAGTCTGCATTAACAATGTTCGAAACTTGGATATATTTATAAATATTATTAAAATTCCAGAGGAATGTAATAACTTGAGTATAATATTTGATAATGAACTTAGATTTGGTTTTCAAATTTCTCTAAGAAGGTCCAACTTACTGTCATTCCTTCACGATTTTAATTGGTTACATGTATCAAGTCCAAAAGAATTAAATTTTTCTTGTTTTCTTCGCAAACTACTTAAGACTGGCTTGTAGAAATTGCATTCCTTTGAGTTTAAATTGTCAGTATGAAATATATTAAATTAAGAAGACCATGAATGACTAAAAGCTCTGCTAGACTGCTTCATAAATATCCTCAGATTGGACAATCAAAAAATAACTCTCTTTGGGTTTTAAGTTTCATTTAAAAGAACATCTTTTACGGAGAAATAGTATTTTTATCGTTAACCTATTTAGTTTATGCTTAATTCATGTTTTTGTACATATATATTTTTGTAATGTAATGTTGGAATACTAAATTAAATTGTATATCTTGTTACAGGCTCGGTTAAGTTGACAGCACAGCACAGCACCCCTATCATGTTCAATACTAGTTTCTATATAAACATTTTTGAGTTTCAGAAGAAAACTGACTACGCCGCTGAATCCTGCGTGTTAAAACCCTGCTCAGACGGATTTTGACCTTTTCGATAAGCGGATGCATTGCGAAGTTGCAAATGGGGTTTAAAATGCAATTTTTTCGAACTCCGCCTCTATCCGGAGATCCAAGACATTACTTTGATTTATGAACCAAATGGAGCAGTCATTTAATTGTTAAAACTAGTAACCGAGATATAGGGCGTTTTTCAATTTTCGTAAATTTTTTAATATTTTAAAATTTTGCATTCGGATAAAAACCTTTTTAGGGCATTTTTCAAGGCAAATGCAGTGGCGTGCCTAGATGTTTTTCTATAGTTCTCGGTCTATTTTATATGGCAATTATAGTTGGCTAACATACTTTAAGCCGCTCAGTTACAGGCTTTGGGCTTTTAAATTTCATTGAAATAAACATCATTTACGGAAAAATTCATAATTAAATTATCCTTTATTAAATATTATTTTTTATCGTTTTTTTTATTTTTTGCTTTGATTTTTAGAATGTAAAATTGGAATACTAAGTTAAGTATGTTGTCGAGCTTAAAATAAACGTTGCTTTATTTATTTATTTATTAGGCTTGATATAAGCCTTTTAAAAATATATAACACATTCTATTTCCAAGCAACTATTTCCAATGGGAAGCTACAATTTCATTTTTTTAATGAGTAGGCCATGGAAAACTGACTACGCCACTTTTAATAAGGGAGGTGGGCAGTAAAACCATCAAAAATGAGACACACTGCACAGAGTGAACCGCCAAATATTTCGATCTTTATTTTGTTGAGTTCTCAATCCCAAATTTAGCAACTTAAACTCAGTTTCATCGTAACTCCATGTTTAAAAGTCGTTAATTATGAGTTAATAAAAAAGATCGGGCGTCCCAAATTCGCTACTCAGCCATAATAGGCAAATTCAAAATTGCCAGATATACCGGACACCCACATTCCGGTGGATTTCTGAGTAAATGTCTAAGATGCCCAACGAGCATACCAAGTTCTGAGTCTATGGTTATCGTTATTAATTTCTAAATAATTAACACCTTTCGCTATAGTTTCTCGCCGCTCAGGCTGAGCATGTTGTAGTAGGAATGGTCGGGGAAGCGCTCCAATTCGATGTAGTCGGTCTCCGTCAGCAGAAGCTTCTCGAGAAGCTCGATGCACTCGGCGAAGGACGGTCGAGCTCTGGGATCCTTGTCCCAACAGTAGTACATTATGTTGTAGAGTTCTCTGCGACAGTGCTCCGGCTTGTCCAAGCGGTAGCCATCTTTTACCTGAAAAACATTTTTCAATAATCATTTTTATTTTTCCAAACAGAACTGCAAAATTAAATAGGAGCTGTCAAAATGGAGTAGGTACATGGTTATTCATTATATTTTGACACCCACCTACAGAAAGTTAGAAAAAAAATTGTAAACACCAAAATTTGAAGGTTTTTGCTCGATTATCTAACTCAAATTTTAGAAAAAACAAACGACGATCGCAAGCTGTCACAATGACAGCAACATTTTTTTTGTTTTAAATGGAATGCCCTACATATTATATTATATTAGCTGATTTCAAAAACATATGGTTTATTGACATTTCATTTGACCTTTTCTGAGATATTTCGGTTTAAAAATAATTATCATTCGATTTCTGGACAATAGCCATATTATTTTAATATGGTCAAGTCTGCCTTGATAGCAGCCATTTTATCTATGTTTGCAATTGTTTTAAAAATGTTCTATTAAAGATGTGCCAAATAATAAAATTACATTATTCAAACAATAAAAACGTCCGAATAACCTCCATTATATTCTATACATCGGACAATATTTCCATTCAATTTCCTATTAATACAAAAGGGGATAAGGTCAGGGTTTAAGTATCCCCACAAAAAAAATATCGCAAGGATTCAGATCGGTGCTGTTGACAGGCCATTTGACATATTTGTTATTTAGATAATCGGTAACCGGTTGGACATTATGTGGAGGTGCGCCATCTTGATGCCAAATTTAATTGAAATGATTCCTAACTGGCACATTTTCTAACAATCTCTTTCGCAAGGAAATTTAAATATCGTTGGAAATTCAAGGGTATTTAGTTCTTTTTCAAAATTTCTTTCTATCGTCCTGATCTTCCGTCTGACAGTAAGGAACCTTTCTACCCGAATATAATTGTCGATATTCCCTTTTCACCATGGCAACATAATTTTATTATCGGGACTGTTTCTACCTAAATATAACACATTTGAAATATCTTAAGTTATTTAACTCAGTTCTCTAGTTTTGATTAGTTGGAAAAGTAGGAAATTGTTAAAACAATTGCAAACATGGATAATATGGTTGATATCAAGACAGACTTGTCCATTTTTAAACTGAAATATCTCAAAAACGGCTAAATGAAATGTCAATAATCTATATGTTTTTGAAATCAGGAAAAAAAGATCTAAGTTCTACGAAAACTGATCTCTGTTCAGATACATAATTGTCAAAAACACAACCTAAAATAATCCTTATTAAAATTCCGTTCTAACCGTTATTTTTGGCCTTAAAATATCTGAGATTTTAAAATTTGACTTTTTGAATTTTTTAGACATAAAATATACTAGAGTTTTAAAATTATATATGTTCTTCGCGCTCTCCATGTTTGTATACAGTACTCAGATGACGGAATTTCAATATGATTCATTAGGAGTTTCATCAATCCCAAGGTAGATGGCGCTAGTTAAATTTAACGTTTCTGAACCGGAATTCAGTGTCAACTTAAAACATTAACCAAAAAAGTGTTATTTTTGTAGTTTATGTGGTGATTAGGTTAGAAAAAAAAATTAAGAATTTATAGTTAAATTTTAGAAATGGACATGATATTGTTTTGACATTAAACTGATAGCTTGTAGGTTTTCTCTAAATGACAAATTATGTTATATAAAAAATATGATGAAATATGCCCAAGTTCATATAATTAATACAAAATTTTTATTATAATAAACAAGACATTATTTTTGTTTCCAAAGATTTTGTTGATTAATAAATTATTTTTTATTTATTATTTTTAACTACAACTTTTTGACAGCAGCCAACTAATTTTTTTTTTCAATATGCAATGTTTTACTTTTTTTTTATTTGGAAACAGTAAGTTTTATGCAAAAAAGTATCCAAGTGAAACATAAAATTAAGGAAATATATTTTTTAAGTAATTGCATAACTTTTTTCTTTGTTGTTTGTTGTTGTTCATATATCTCGTTTGTTATTTGTTTTGGAAACAAATTTTAATGCAAAAGCTATAGGTAAGACTAAAAGAAACAATTTGGTGACTTAATGTGAGATTTTCTCATAATTTGACAAATCTGTTTACGTCAGAAAATACTAAGTTTGGATATAGGTAATGGCGTTCCATTTGATTTTTGCAGAATAAACAATATTTTTTATTTTGACTCTGCATAAATGATTCGACCTAACTTCAAGATAAGTATAGCACGAAATATAGAGTGTTAAACAGAACATTTTTGACGAACAAATGACCATAAATACGAAAACACTCAGTATAAACTATTACAACCCTGCGTTAGGCGATTGAGTATAAAAAAGAGTAACTATTAATGTAATAATATACAGGGTGTTAAATTTAACAAAATATGTAAGTTTGATATCCCACGTATTTATTAAACACCCCGTATATCCGAAAACAATGAATGGAATTATATCATGACCCACTATTTGGACACCATGTATAAGAAACCACAAGGAACAAGGAATCAGACCTTGTTCATTTAAAAGTCAAAATAAGGAAATGTGACTGGGAGAAAATAAACATTGTTGAGATGTGTAGAATTTTTTTTGTGTTACTATTTTTTTAGTTATATGTATTGGAACTTAAACTACTTTTGCATACCTTTTTATTTGCATTTGGTTTTCGGCAATTTCTTTAATATTTTATCCCCATTTTCATATCTAAGATGCAAAATAGATCAATTATAAGCAACTTAGTAATTAATATTCGAATAAAAAAATTTCACGATCCATTTAAAAGCTAGTCTGCAGTGACAATCCAGCTGGGAGAAGACCTCTTGTGGGAGAAGACCTCTAGGCAGACCTCGCTTAAGATGGCGAGATAATGTAATATCAGATTTCAGGACAATGGGATACACGCACCAACCCCAAATGACAGAAGACCGTCAGGAATGGAGGCGAATCGCAAACGCAGCCAAGACCCACCCAGGGTTATGGGGCTACTGATGATGATTTAAAGAATTTAAAGTGTCACCATTTTGCGGGACTAATATTCGGTTAGTTTTATTATTCGGAACACATTACTAGTGTAATTCTTCACCGTTTTTTTGAAAATATTACGAAATTTATTTTTTTGGGGGGGGGGGGGGGTTGGTGAAACATTCTCTGGGACTGCGGCTGATGAAAATAACCAACCCCCCGCCCCCCGAAAGACCACCCTTTGGGAATCTGCCCCCGCTATTTGTATGCAAATATCGCGATCATTAAACTGAATTTAAAAATTGGCCAGTGGAAATTTTTCGAATGCGGCGGAAAACAGACCACGCGCGTGGCGGGGGAAGGAGGTAAGGGTTGACGTCACCGGCGCCCTTCCTTTACGCATTCCGTATAATCCGCCCAATTAATAATATTAATTTGTTGTTTATCGCAATACAATTTCATTTCGCGGAAAGAAAAACAGGTCGAATGGGGGAATGCTCCGCCCTATATATCTAATTATCTTTGTCGACTAATTGAAATCGCTCGGTGTTTGAGGTTACATTGAGTCATTACGTAGAAAGCAACGGAAGGAACGTGTCGTTTATAATGGCGATGTAATTTATTGCTACGATATTGGAGCTGCCACAGGATTCTAACAATTCATACATTTTGGAAAAATTGCCGTCTACAGTGAAACCTATCAATATTAGGCGGCCATGTTTTTTGCAACGAAATACCGTCGAAACTCTATGTAGCGAAATTGGAGGGAAAGTTAGAGGCACTTGAAAAATAACATATTCAAAATCTGCTTAGGAAAACTTTATATTGGGTTGTTCGGAAAGTCATTTCGTTTTTTTGGGGGAACATGAAAGACAGTTTTCGTATAATGAATAAATATTTTATTAAATTATATATTGGCCATTCTGGTCCAACACCTTTTGCCATCTTTCTGGCAGTAACATAATTCCCCTCTCATAAAAGTTTTGGTCCTTGCTGGCAAAAAACTGGTTCAGGTGGTTTTTGACATCTTCATTTGAGGTAAAGGTTTTGCCATCCAAAAAATTTTGCAGGGACCGGAACAAATAGTAGTCGGAAGGCGCCCGATCTGGAGAATATGGTTGATGTTGCAGTACGTCCCATTCAAGCTGTAAAAGTTTTTGGCGAGTGACCAAACTTGTGTGAGGTCTCGCATTATCCTGGTGGAACACTACACCCTTCCTGTTGATTAATTCGGGCCTCTTCTCTTTAAGTGAATCATTCAATTTGTCCAGTTGATGACAATAGACTTCTGAATTAATCGTTGTATTGTCCGGCAAAAGCTCAAAAAAACGATTCCTTTGACATCCCACCAAACGGAGAGCATCACCTTTTTTTGGTGAATGTTGGCTTTTGACACGCTTTGAGCCGGTTCATCTTTTCTGCTTCATGACCTTTTGCGTTTAACATTGTTGTATGCATTTTTCGTCCCCAGTAATAATCCGCTTCAAAAATGGATCATTTTCTTGACGTTTGAGGAGCGAATCACACACGTCAACGCGACGACACAAATTTCGCTCCGTAAGGACATGGGGCACCCACACATCGAGCTTCGAGGTTAAGCCCATGCCTTTCAAATGGCCATAAACAGTCGAATTCGACAAATTTAATCTCTCACCGATCTCTCGTGTGGTTATTCGCCGATTTGCATCAACTGATGCCTTTATCGCATCTTTGTCAGCTTCGACCGGCCTTCCAGACCGTGGTGCATCTTCGACATCAAAATTGCCGGATCGAAATTGTGCAAACCAGTTCTGGCACTGGCGTACTGTTAACACGCCTTCTCCATACACATCCGTCAATTTTTTTCTCGCTTGGACAGCATTTTTACCTTTTCTGAAGTAAAAAAGTAAAATATGACGAAAATGCTGCTTATTGCTCTCCATATTTAAAAGGTTACCAACTAAAAACTACTGCGTAGAATTAATAGAACTTTTTCACACACAAGCCTTGCAATATCAGCTCTCAAGACATATAATGGTTATGCGGCTTAAGTGTGAAGTTGGTTTCGAAAAAACGTAATTAAGTCCTCTGACGGGAAAGAA